TTATGACTATATTATTATCCGGGAGGACTTTTAGATATCTATAAAAAATTTTATATTTTTTATATATAAAATTTTTTGAAAATATAATTAAAAGCCGAGTTACTGGTCATTTTTAAAAATTTTATATTATGAGAACCAAAAATCAATTTGCATGGCCTAACGGGTAAGCTTTTTAAAAAATTTTCTACTACGAGTGTAATATTTAATATAACATACAACTCTCTCATATCCGTGTATTTATTTTTCAAGTTAACAAATCAGACAACCTAATATAATTAATATAAGAAAGTTTTTTTTAATATAATATTTAGGTAATAGAATAATTTTGTTTTTCATATCATTCAAATAATTTATACTTAGCTTTATTTTACACTAATCCTTTAAATTGTCGGCCTTTATTTCTCTAAGATTTCGAGTCATGATTACAAATTGTATTATGATAAATATTAGACTGTGCGACAATAAATATAGTAAGACCTGTTGCTAGAACAGTTTGTTGAGTGTAAGTATTCTCTTTGTTACGTGTGAATGACAGGAGTAGAAAACCTGTAATATTAATTTACTAACTTTCACTTTATTAAAAAAATTATCTTGTAATGATTATATGTGATTGAGATTTGTACAACTAGTGATTCTAGTTGCTTCGACAATGTTCGTTGTTTTAGTATTAAACAGATAATTATAAAAAAATAAGGTATTATATTTATTTTCGAATTTTTTGAAACCAAATCCGATAAGATGATGATAATTAATTTTTACAGGTTTTCTATTCCCACTATTTATATGACAACTAGTTACTTACTTCACTAAACAATTCGTTTGTCAATCCATTTCTGTATATTAGTGGAATTGGACTTTTTACTTGAATTACTAAATATACATTTAGAATAATTACTGTAATAATAAAAAGTCCAATTCCACCAAGATATTACTATACTACTAATATCATATATTTATTTTTTATGTTGCCACTGAAGAAAATTATTAAGGATTTCATGTGCCTTTTCTTTTCTAGAAGTTTCAATATTATCTTCCGATATCTTATTTGATATTGAATTTTTAGCATTTTTGCAAATATTCCGCAAATCATTTTGAAAAATTTCTTGAATTCCACCATCTAATCCACTAAGTTGAATTCGTGATTCTTGCAAATGAATATCCATATTTGGATGAACTTTCATATCGTAACGATTGAATAATCCCTCTAATTGTTGTTGATGTATTACGATATTTCAAATATGAAACTTAAGAAATTCATATACAAGGAGAAATTTTTCTGGCTCCACTATATCAGAATTTGCAAAAGCCTTGAATTCTTCAAAGAAGTCTAGATGGCCTAACTTTTCTAACAATCCAAATGTTGCTGTACATCCATTAGATAAATTCTCTTTTAGATTTTCAATATATGAACTCTCTGTTATAGATTGTTCTTTTGAAGAGTCACAGGAAAAAAATACTTTTAGAAATACATGAGCAAATTCAGGCCCTTTTTCTCTACCTAATCGACAGATACATAATGGTAAATGAACCCAAGTTTCCATCCATTTAATAAATCTGTTTAATGCATTTTCTATACCATTATGTAATAATTCACAAAAATTTTCAAAATCTACAGTATTTAATTCGTGCTCAGCATCAGCCAATTCTTCACCAAATAATTCATAAATATTATCCAGGCAGTCTTGAAGATTTTTAATCCAGATTAACATTTTATCTGGCATTTCGTGAGCACGATTTCCTGGAGGAAGTGTTACTTTTTGATTTTCTTTATAAAATCGTGGAATTGGATCATAACCGGTTATAAACTTATAAACAGGTTTATAAAATTCTTGCCCGAATTTGACAAGACATCACAATTGAAGATTAATTTGTTTGTCAGCAAGCCACTCAAAAAAGATTTTCTATTTTTGTAAGTATGTTTTAGGAATATTTTTTGCCTTTTCAAATTGCTCAATAAAAAATTGTGCAAAAGAAATATGAACATCCCGTCTAACAAGATACTGCCTAGCCGTTTTAAGTTCATACAGGCATCGTTGACGAATAGGTTGTTGATATTTATTTAATTCAAAATCAAATAAAATTTTATAAAGTTTCCGTAATGTTTCAGACTTTAAATTTAGTGGACTGTTTCTGTCTGAAATATCATAGCCATCATGAAGATGAAAGGCAAGGTTAAGTAAATTATATAGATATTTTTTTAATGACAATCCTTTAACACCATCTAATTTTCCAAATACTTTATTTTCAAAATTTATTAAAGCAATTTGAGCTGCATGTAATCTACAAGGAATTCGAAATGAACTAGATGCCGCTAGTAAATTAAACTCAGCAGTTGCACCATGAGCCTCTAAAGACATGTAAGCAGTATTGTCTGTTAGCCAAAAGTGATATTTTTTAGGATTGATTCCACTATGCTGACATGTTTCAAATATAGCAGCTGAAACTGTTTTTGCATTACAATGAGTTAGGTCTATTAATTTTGCTACTGTAATTACAGGTTCTTCTTTAA